GAGCTTAGTAGCATTGACCATAGTAAGGAGTTGAATTTTGTTGCCGGTTCTGGTGTCGATGATGCAGAGGATACAAAACAGTGGGGGAAGGATTGGTGGTGGAAGCAGGATGGAAGTGGTGAATTGTGTAGTAAAGATTATGTTACAGAATGGATAGGGAGTCAGATTTGCCCATCTACGAATCCCGACTGGGATGACGAAAAGAAGAGCATTCATGAGAAACGTGGGTTAGATGTGTCAACTCCAGTTGATAAATTAGAAAATGCAAATGAACTCCAGTTGCAAGAATTTGGGTTTGGAAATCCCAATAAGGGGTTCCAGAAGAAAGAATCGAAGAGCAGGAAAAATCACAAAAGGAAACCAAGGAAGATGCAAGAGTGGTGGAAAGAAGAGCACCTTGCTGAGATTAGCAAGAAGGGTAATAAGCTTAAAAATCTCGAAACAAAGTGGAAGAAAGGCTTCAAAATGCCGCGTTTTGGCAGATGGATGTACCTTCATAGACGAAAGAACTTTAGGGAGCAGAGTCAGGATAAATGTGATCAAAATGGGGAGTTCAGTTTCAGAAGGGGATGGAAGAAAAAGACTGCACATTCTGTTGGAAGTGACGTCTATAGTGGTGATCTATTTAGCCGTGAGCTCAGCAGCACAACAAGCATGAGAGGGACTTTGTGCTATGTTGCGCCAGAATATGGTGGGTGTGGATACTTGATGGAGAAGGCTGACATTTACAGTCTAGGTGTTCTAATCCTTGTGGTTGTGTCTGGTAGAAGACCATTACATGTTCTTGCATCACCCATGAAGCTAGAAAAGGCAAATTTAATAAGCTGGTGTCGGCAGTTAGCTCACGCTGGAAACATCCTTGAACTTGTAGATGAGAGATTGAAGGATGAGTACAATAAAGACCAGGCAAGTTTGTGTATAAATTTGGCTCTCTCTTGCTTACAAAAGATGCCAGAGTTACGACCGGAAATTGGAGAGATTGTTAAGATCTTGAAAGGGGAAATGGATCTCCCACCACTCCCGTTCGAGTTCTCTCCCTCCCCACCTTCAAAGTTTTACAGCAGGTCAAGGAGAAAACAGACTGCCACTACAGAGTAGGGACTGTAACATATTCTTCATTTCAAGTTTCTTTTATCATTCCCCACTAGGGGTTATGTTGAGTGTAATATAGAAGCAATGATTCGAAATCGTTATTTGAAAGCAAATTTATGGCCTGCATGTTGTGTGTATATTAGCAATTAGGTAGATGATTCTACTCCATTTTTCATTGCTGGGTTAATGTTCAAGTCCTATTGACACTCCCTTTGTTGTTTTTTCAATCATAATCAGACCAAAGTTTCCTTAAACTCCTGCAGTGGAATATACAGGTCCTCTGTTTTATCCAGTGATTCATCAGGCTTGTGCTGTTTTGAAACAATTGCAGATGGTTTGTCAATGCATGCAAGAAATCAAATGGGAAAACTTCGAGAAACAATCTAGCTGCTCAAAAAGCCTCCCATGTTTAAGTTTGTCTCACATTTCCTTACACATTTGAAGGGTTTTTCTTTGGACACATGAACTAATTAAGAAGGTTTTAATTTACACCAGCCAGTAAAACTTTGACAGCCACAGAAAATGATTGATCCTTTAATTTTGGTTGGAGCTTTTTTAGATTGATCATGAAGCACTGAAGTCTTAATCACGGGCCGAAGCTGCTCACTACTAAAGTGTAAATTATTAACCCACGAGAGGCTAAGACTAATCACTCAAAAGTATATATCATAAAGTCATGACTCTATCCGCATAATTTTTCCTGCTGAATTGTCATTGTCATTTTCCTTTTCCTTTCCTAGAAAGAAGATAAAGAAAAGGTTGCTATCTGGGCAAGGCTAGGGACAACTCTTGGAAGCAATATTTGCATTATTTCCCTTATTGGGCTGGAGGAAAATGACCGCAAAAAGTAAAAGAAAAAAAGGATTATGAACCAAAGCTTGCGAAGACTGACAGCAAAAAAAGAAAGAAGAAAACCAAAAGAAAAAAAAAAACACAAATGGCAAGTTACTTATATACGATTTGAGCCATCAATGAGGTTTATCTGGTGTAGTTGCTTAGAAGCATCATAGCCACCACTAGTCGTAGAACTTGCATGGCACGAGGATAGCAATGTTTCGCTATTTTCAACTAATCACATTTTGCTATATGAAAAAACAAATGCAAGAATCGTATTATAAGTGAAACACAATATTAACATACTTCTCATAAGGAGCTAGGCAGGGAAAGAGAGAGTGATCATCTTTCTATATGTGGTGATTTTTAACAATGACAATTTTATAATTTTATAATTTGACCATTGATCATCTCGATATTATAAGCTTTTGATCAATCTGAGTGATTGTGCTACCTCTGTCATGATGGGCCTGTCATCCGGATTTGTTTTGAGACACCTCTCTATGAGCTTAGCACATTCCACTACTTGCTTCTTGTTTTCTTCTTCCAAGACATTGGCCTCTAAGTAGGTTTTGAAAAGATTTGCTAACTGTCTAAACTCTAGCTCGTTATATGAGCTTGAACTGCCTTTGTTAGAATTCTCCATAAACCAAATTAGTAAACTATCCCATCTCTTTCCTGCAAAGATCTCACATAACAGAATTCCGAAGCTATGGACATCACTCTTTTCTGAAGTACGTCCTGATATAGCATATTCAGGAGGCAGGCACCTATGAGTCCCAGTAATTACTTCAACATCCACATGAGTTTTACCCAACGGAATTGGCACTGAGGTTCGGAACTCAGACAGCTTTGCAACATAGTCTTGGTCTAAGAAGATATGTCCAGCCTTTATATCTCGATGGATGATCATCTTCGGCATGCCATAGTGGAGATAGGCAACTGCATCTGCTACTTCAATTGCAATCTTTAACCTTATCTGCCATTGTAGTGATTGGCCATCTCCATAGATGTTGTGTGAGAGGTTTCCTTTTGCTGGGAATTCGTAAACTAGCGTAGGCAACTCAGACTCGAGGCAGCATCCCAAGAGCTTCAAAACATTCTTGTGCTTGCTCATGTTCGAGGCTATTGCAGCTTCATTTGTAATCAGTTCTAGAGGATCCATGTAACTACTTGAGTCTGCTTCAAACTTTTTCACCAAAATTCCATGGTCTTCATGAACTCCTTTGTACAATCGAGAGTTCCAATCCCGATATGCCATTCCATCCCAGCAATAATCATTCGTTGCTTTCTTGAGCTCTTCTTTGGAGTACATCCGAATCGGATTACAATTCCCACGGAAAGAATGTATAAGCTGTTCTAACATGGCAGCTCCATTCTTCAAGTAGCATCCCTCCTCTTTTCTCTTGTATTTCTTGTTTCTGAAGCATGATAGCATATTCGAAGATTGGTTTTCAGTTGCCAAAGTTGCAGCACTATCTGTGGACTAGCCTGCTTTTGTGGTCCTGTTTCAGCTGACAGTTAACTAGGGGCTTAACTTGTTGACTAATAATTCTTTAGGAACCATCCTGGTTTTTTCTGGGTGTTTTCCTATAAGGCTTGTGGAAGAAACAAAACATCTGGTTTTGGACCACAAACGATGAACAATTATTAGAGTAATACATAAGGTTTTATTCTTGAATCACAGTTGTAGTTTTCATTATTTTGATTTTAATGACACTCTGGCTTATTAGAAGATTAGTTTTCAGTAGGTAACAGAACAGCTCCCTGCCTTCGGACTAATAACAGCTCGCTTTGCTGGTCCACCCTCTCTGCAGACAGTCAAACTTGGGGGGGGAGATTGGGTTTGGTATGCCTTTGAAGACAAAGATAAAATTTGCTACCGTGGGGCAGTCAATTGCTACCGTGGCAGATTAAGCTAAAGATTGCAGTTGAAGTAGCAGATGCAGTTGCATATCTCCACTACGGCACGTGCAAGAGGTTCATCCATCGACATATAAAGACAGAACATATCTTCTTAGACCAAGACTATGTTGCCAAACTGTCTGAGTTCCAAACCTCCGTACCAATTCCTTGTGGTGAAACTCATGTTGATGCCGAAGTGTTCGGGGCTCCACACCACTTTGCTCCAGAACTAAAAATTTGTGGGCATTATAACGAGAAAAGTGATGTCTATAATTTTGGGATTGTACTGTGTGAAATTCTAACAGGAAAGAACATTGCTGATTTACAAGCTTTTCAGGTTTTAGTGAATTCTAAGGAATGGGAAAGCATTTTGAGGGAAAATTTGCATGATAGAAGCATGGGGCAAGTAGCAGAATGCACCAAGCTCGCATTATGGTGTCTCGAGTCAGACTCAGATCCTTATGATAGGCCCACCATGAAAGAAGTGTCAACGAGATTAAGATTAATAAAGACCTTCTAATGTTAATGTTTTGTTGTACTTCACAGTTTAAATCATAAATTTTGAATGTTTTATTCTTCCCTTAATATCTATGCATCTTTACATAGAAATTAATATTTTTGGTCTTCTAAATTTTGTGTTTTCCCCCATCCATTAGGATCTTATATGCATAGTGTATTCATTTGGCTATGTAAATCTTGATTCTTGACGGATAATAAAGTATTAAAGCTACAAAATCACGCAACCTTCTTATTTTCTGGAAATTCTTGTCAAAAGACGGGGCAGAACAAGCAAAATTAGCAAAGACAGTAATGCTTGGGCAATGAGAAGGCAAAGCTCATGGAAAACTATTACCATGGGAACCTTTTTGAATGAACAGCATTACTATGCAAAGAATAAGGCTCGATTATTCGACACCTCAATGTCGAAGTAGATGCAGCTGAAGAACTGCCTACATCAGTTGCAACTGGAAATGGAGAATATTTGATGTGCCTATGGTAGATTAGTCTTGGAAGCTAGCACAATGTAGTCACTGACAAGTCTTTGGTCATAACAGTGAAGCCTGCGCTCCTATTAAACTAGTTTGGATGCCTAAGGAGGCAACTCAAGAGACAGGGTGTTGGTCTAAACCTAAACAGAAAGTCAAAATTGTAAAGTTTCAGAGCGGTAATTAAAATAGTTGAAGGATGATCAAATTGTAAGTTTTGCTAATTTGAAACAAAGTTTAGGCAATACAGTCGAGGGGACAAAGGAAAAAAACCACAAGAGTTCAACCCAAATCATATAATGTAAATGTCCAAAGAACATCAACTAAGGAAAAAAAGAGAAGCTTAAAACTGAGAACAAATAAGAATAAATTGTACACTTCCCTGAGTTACACCAGCTTCCACAACCAAAACACACCACAAGAACTAGACCCATCCGAATCCAAAGCACAGCATTGCCAAAGAAACCGCTAAGGCCCGAAATCCCTGTCGAGGAACAACCAGGACAGCAGAATCTGATGAAGAATTATGGGCACTTGGGGCAGCCTGTGGTGAAGGCAGAGGATGGACAACAACAGAGACCTTCATGCCATTGTAGCATTGACCATTGCCACAAATGAAGTAATACCTCTTGGCCTGATTGAGGGGTATGAAGTCTTTGCCACTGCTCCAGTTCCCTACAGCACTGTCCAAGGTGCAGTTGTCATACCCAGTCTGGTTTACCTCAAACACATTGTACTGGTTCTTTGTGTACCTAAATGCTGCAAGTTAACAAGCAATGTACTTTGAGAAGAAAAGAAGGACCAGGATAAATAAGAAAAACTTGCACAGAAAAAGGCTAAGACAGATAGCAAATTGTATGATTAGCCCAAAAAGATAGTAAATTTGTGTGTACACACAACAACAGCAATATTCAAAGTACCACAATGATGGGCTATGAACTGTGAAAAAGATATGAAAGAAAGCTATCTCAGATAGACAATTAAGCTAAAGAAATCCAAAATTAATGTGCTAGGTTCAGTTCAAGTGTACCATAGTAACCATAATATGATATATCTCACTTTTATCTTCTTCTTCTTTTATTTTTTATTTTTTATTTTGGTTGTTAACAAGCAGCCGAAAAGTGAAAACAAAAATACCCAAAAAAGAGAGTGGGTTTTCGAATGCAATTCAAGTGTACCATAGTACCATAATATGATACCATTTTTCTCATTTTTTATAAAAAAAATTTGAACTTTTGTTTTTAACAAGCAGCAGAAAAGTGAAAACAAAAATACCCAACAAAGAAAGTGGGTTCTGGAATGCAAACTGAGTACTTGAAAATGAATCTAAAGACAGAAAAATAGAGAGAGAGAGAGAGAGAGAGAGAGAGAGCTTACAGATAAGATCCCCAACATAGAAAGTTTGGTTGTTGGCCCAGAGGGTGTAGTTGATGCCAGGGTTCCAGCCACGGTTGGCACCAACAATGTGGTCAGTGGCAAGGATTGGAGTGAGGACTGCAAGGCCGGAGATGAAAAGGAGAAACAAGATGAGGTGGGTTGAGTTACAAGACTTCCACATGTTCCTTCTCTGGTTGGTTTCTTCTTTCTCTTCTTTCTCTGTCTCTTGGTTAACGGAAATAATTCGCAGGAGGCAGTTCAAAAAAGAGTCCAGTTGAGTTGAGTTCTGGGTTGTGTGGGCTCTACAAACAAACGATTCTTCTTTCTCCGCATTATTTTGGTTTATTTCACAGAAGAAAAGGGTAGTCGCATTATCAATCTTCTTGATTTAGCCTGTTGTACTCCAAAACAATATTTCCATTAAAAAAATCTTATCAACTTGCAATATAGTAAAAAGAACCGACAAAGAAAAAGTATAAAATGAGTAGATGGATCAGGCATTGGGAAATGGCCGTTGTGGTCTCCAAACACGCAGGCCCCATTTTAATATTTTCTTGGAGTGGAGTAGCTTTTAATAACTTACCCACATTTTTGTCCTTGTTTGGTAAATTGGTGCACAAAATAAGAAGCAACGCGAAATTTTTTATCGTAAGACATTCCGGTGTCGTGGATCAATACAGACTATTGAGAGCTGTGCGACAGTCAGTTGATTGCGGATGTGGGTGATTTCTGTTTTGATCGTTGATTTATGTGATTTTCAATTTTATAAACAATTTAGTTGTCTATGAAGGAGAGATTTCTTACCATTTATGCATATAAAAGCCACATTTTATCAATTATTAGAGAATGTTAATGAGGTATTAACGGGGTATAGTCTACAGAAAAAGGATATTAAGTTGTAGATCAATGATTTTTTGTTCAAATCTCCATAGTACCTTTCGTAGTGTGTGGGAGAAATCCCTTCCCCTATAATAATTCCCATTGTTTTTTAACGTTGAATTTTTTATTGGAAATGGTTCAGACTCCACTTATGTTGGCTGCAATGCATCATGCATGGCAAGATCTCGAGCGTAGAAATGCTTCTTGAAGCATGAGCAAATGTATGTGAATATCCCAACTTTTTGTTTCTTTTAGATTTGCATTTCTTTTTTTCAAATATGAACTATGAAATTAATGTGGGTTATTTTGTTAGGCTTTAACATTTTTTATACAAAAAAGGGGGTATTCGGGGTGGGGATGGGGATAGCCCTCTGATGGGGACGGGACGGGGATTCCCCGAAACCGCTTAAAACGGTAATGGTGGCGGGGACATGGCCGGGGATGGGAAGCAGGGACGAGGAAGATATTGACATACCCGGCCCGTTGCCATCCAATGCCATCCCATCACCTATCTGAAGCCAATATTTTCTAATGTGTTTTTCTTAAAAGAGGATTTACACGCGAGTCTATTGAATTTCTTAAGCTGTGAAGAAAGAGAGCAATATAATTTTGAAGGAGGGTAGCAATTGTTACCAAAGTATTCATATGAAACTCCTTCCAAGATTGCTGCCTTAGGCGACTTTGATATTCCTGCTCCTTGCATTTCAATATTTCGTACAGAAATCTCCTCATAATTTGACATATGAAATCATGCCTGGTTTAGCAAGAGGTGGTGGAGGGAGACACTTGAGTAAAAGACAACAGTACTTGTCAATTGAATATCTTCATACAAAGTGTCACATCCTATTGTATCAAGAAACACGTTAACACTTCCATTTTGTATTGGTTTTGCAAAATATGATGCTTCTGCAAAAAAGTGCTCCATCATGGTAATAAATGTATGTATGTTTATAAAGTCTCAAAGACATGGAAAATGCTAGGGAGACCACAATTTGTGTACCAACTCTCTAATAGAGCATGAGACCCATTGTATTGGTGGGCGCCACCTCTATTAGAGAGTTGGTACACAAGTTGGTATCCCAAGTTGGTCTCCCTAGCATGACCCCAAAGACATACGTACATATTCGTGTTCCCATGTTTGTCCATATGAAAACATGACACTTGTACCTCTGCTGACGAATCATAGACGAAAGGCATTAGAACTTTTCCAGTATTGCGCCATCCAAGGCTAAGAAAAAAATAGTGAAAATATCTTACATCAAGAGTTGTTCACAATTATGAGTTATAAAGCAAAGGGTTCTTCGTTCACTTCCTTCTAAACGGATCTGGAAACTCTGTATAAAGTAAAAGGTTCTTCATTCTCTTCCTCCACCAGCATAGATGAGTGAGAAGCTGCAGAAAAAGAAATCACCAAATTTCCAAATTAAAAATACTTATGAAAAGAAACATCCATTCCATTCAGTATGAGCAAACAAAAAACAACAAAGGAAAGGGAAAGACAGTCTACTTCCAAGTCATGTGAACTAAGAAAAAATGCAAATCAAGTCCATGAACCAATTGGCAAACGTTGCATTCATTTGCCAAAATGTAATATGAACATGAGGGATCAAGTGGAATGCGTACCAGGAACATATAGAAACAATAGCATTGATCCCCAAATAAAACAACAATGTGAATCAAATGCTCCTTCATAATATATTTTTTGCACCATTCAAGAGGCTCAGCTCCTTCTTTCTAAATGCTAAATCAATTTTGTTTTGATCAGTTGTCAAGAATGAAAACCAGATAGCACAAGTTGAAAGGTTTCTAGGAGTCAATTTTGCAGAAGAAGCTCCTTAGCAACTTTTCCAACAACAACAACCCATATCTTCCATATGGAATTTGCAAAAAGTTCTGCAAGAACTGGCAGAGAGGATCTTTCCAAGATTTTTGACATGCAGTCAAAATTTCAGATTAGACTATTCAATTGATGTCTTCTCCTCTCTTGATTGGTGTGGACTTTTCCATCTCTTCATCCTGCCTTGCTTTTGATTAACCCTCGTCGCTTGCTTGACCGGTCTCGGTCTCTGTTTGCCTTTTACACTACTGCCTCCAACTGGTTCCTTCAAAAGCTTTTCAAGCTTTGGATCTCCCAAAAATCCGTTTGACCTCATCTCAGCAAAAAGTTCCCTGGCCTTCATTAACAAACGACGATTTGCCAGGCCCTGTACCATTACTGTGTAATGTGTAGAATCAGGCACTACTCCATAGTGCTTCATTTCTGTCCAAATCTTCAATGCCATCTCAGGTTGCTCTAATCTGAAGAACTTTCCAAGAATCATAAGAAAGGCATCGCCATTAGGACCTAAATTTGCTTTCTTCATTCGATTAAGAATTTCAAGAGTTCCCTCTAAACCTGTGCTCTGGAGAAATGCATGGTAAGTCTCAATAGTTGGGCTGATATTATCCTCTCTCATTGCGCTCAACATCTGCCTCGCCTCCTCTATCTTTTTTGATTCACATAAAGGACATATCATTGAGTTATAGGTAGTAGAATCTGGCTGCAAACCCATTTGTTTCAAATTGCCCAGCATTTTGAGAGCTTCGTTATAGCAATTTTCACAAGTTAGTGCATAAATCAATGAATTATAAACTTTGAGGCCAGGAACAAAGCCCCTTTTCTTCATTTGATCATAGAACCTAAGGGAGTCAAAAAGCTTTCCAACCTTTGACAAGCAGGAAATCAAATGTGTATAAGAAGTTGCATCTGGTGTAATACAACATTTTGACATTTCTCTCCAAACTCTCTTGGCTTCAAATACATCAACAGATATGTTACACCACCCATTGAGAATAATGTTAAAGCCCTCAGTCTCCAGTGAGAAAAGCTTCTTATTAACAAGCATGAATTCTTCAGCTTCTTCAATGTTTCCATATTTACAGAGAGCATTCAAGAGGGTGTGGAATGCTTCTTGATCAGGAGTCAACCTGAACTTGTCCATCATCTGGAATGTCTTAATGGCCTTACATGGATCATTTACAGATGCATATCTGATGAACACCAAAGGGGAAATAAGGAAAATTAATTTTTCGAATAAGACTAGTGAACCGCGTATAAGTTTGAGAAAGCACAAAGTCGTGGAAGTGGTTGAAGAATTATATAAACTCATCTCATACAGCATCATAAAAACCAAAAACCAAATGTCCCAAAGCTAGCAAAATAAATAAATGAATTTCTAATCTATACAGATCCATACTTTACAATATTTGTAGAATTATGCGAACAATGCAAGAAGTATGCAACCCTAGAAACCACTTCTGGGAAGGAACCATCCAGAAACAAAACAAGAAAAGTTAGTTTGATTTCAGAACTTCAGAAGGTCCAAGCATCTTGTTTGATTGCACCAAAGAAGAAAATTACACTATAGAAAATTCTACAACCACGTTTACTTCTAACTAGAAAATAATGTAGCTAAATTAAACCTCCTTTGAACACCATATTCAATTTCAAAACATAATCAACATTCAATCAAAACAATAAAAAATATCAAAAGCTAAGCTCAAGCTCACCTCTCAATCATAATAAGCATAGCACGCCGTGTATCCATCAGAGCCCGATGCAAGTCCCGTATCAAACACCAAGCAGTACTGAACTTTCTGTGACTCCCCAAAACCCATACCATCAAACTACAAGCCTCTTCATCGCAACAACCCAATTTCTCACCCCATTTGAAAGCCAAAAACGCCAATTTCCAGTCTTCCCTCAATTCCCAAATCGCTAAAAGGACCGTATCTCCATTCACCTCAATGCCCGACTTGTCGAGAAAAGGCATGGCCTCGGCTTCTGAGGCAAAATGGGCGGCATGTTTGAGCAATTCGAGAAATTGGGTGAGACCCGACTTGTACGGGTCGTTTGTCTTGAATCGTTGGGCATCGAAGCCCAATGGGTCGTTGAGAGTTTGGGCTGAGAAGGGTTGGAGAGTAGAGAAATGGCGAGGGGTTTGAAAGGGAACGAGAAGTGTTCGATGAAATGTTTGAGAGAGATGCTGGGGGAGAGGGTGTGAAGAATGAGGAGGAGACGGTGAGTTAGAAATGGACGGAAGCAGCGTATGTGATAGGAAGAGCTGGGGATGTTTGCTTCGTAGCCTTCTTGCTATGGAGGGAAGTGCCATCAGTTTACCAGAAGAAAAGACTATGGGACATGTCGAAAGCCACCTTGGCTGAGTTTTAAGGAAAAAGGCAAAGAAAATCTGAAAAATGGTGAAAACGGAACCAATCACAAACTGTCACTTGGAAAGGGTATTACACATGACATGCCGTGATGAGTTGGAATAGTAAAATAATGTTATCTCAGTTTCATATACACAAGTGGGAGAGCCCGAGTAGGGTAATAAGAATTCGTTACTTATAATGCCAAAGTAGTGGGAGCCCGAGTAGGGTAATAAGAATTCGTTACTTATAATGCCAAAGTAGTGGGAGAGCCCGAGTTTCTATATTTAGAGATGATGTATTTACTTGCTTTTCATAAAATTTAGACTATCCAACTCATCTGATGCTTATGAGAATGCCACATTACTTGCAATAAATTTGTTTCTTTTTTTATAAACGCCGTTTATTGTATCTTCCTCTTCTCTCTCAACTCGCGCACTCATGTTCTATCTCATGTCGTCCTCACCGTTTTTTTTTTTTGGTTACAATATTTTCTTATAAGTTCAATATGAACGGATTTTGGCTAGTAATGTTGTTTTCCTTCTTTCAGTATTCATTATGATTTGCGAAAAAGCCTAAAATAGCTAAATACTTTCATTTCTGAAAAAAAAACTTTAATTTGATAAATTAAAAAATCTTCCGATCTGCAAGATGTTGCAGTGATCGAGAAAAGCCCAAAGTTTTTGCAACTTGCTAATTTGAAAGTTGTACTCTAGTCATCGAGAAAAGCCCAAATTGATCAGGAAAATACCCAATTGATTTCAGTTTAATTTTCTTCAATGCTGGGTTACAAAACCCATCTTCAATTGATGCACATTAAAGTAGAAGAAGAAGCCAAAATTTTAAAAATAAAAAAAAACAAAAAAAAAACCATAATACAAAGACAAAGAGGAAGAACTGAGAGAGACATGGGTAGGCGAGGCTGTAGATGGAGATGGAGATGGAGATAGATGAACTGTTAACGTCAATTTTGAAAGAAAATTATAATTATATCAAATGAATGACGTGGCATACTTTCAAGCATGGCATACTTTCAAGCATTGAATTATTTGGATGGTCTAGATTTTATGAAATGCGGGTAAATACATAGGCTTCGGATTCAGTAATGAGATTGTATATCCTACTTTTTCATAGGATTAGTTATCTTATAAAAATACACTTAATGAATTTATGGTGAGATTATCTTCGTCTATATTTATTTTTTAGTACCAAACATTGGATTGGAATCCTCTACTAATCCTACCCACCGAACGATATTCTAAAGTTGTGCTTGTCACATTTCATAACAAAACTAGAGTCGTGTTTTGTGTCATCAATTTATAGAGAACTGAGAACGCCCTTATTGATAAGCCACTGGTGTTGGTCACGGATGCTTATTATCACAACTACACAAACATATTGGTAATTGTGGGTGTCGCCATTAACTATATGCCATGACAGTAAATAAGCAAACAAGCTCAACCTGATTCCCAATTGAACCAAAAATAAATCAATGATCAAGCCAGTAATTTATTTAAAAATTTATACACCAACTAGTCTAGGAAAACCATGAATTAATAACTACAAAGTAAACTGGACACGACTCGAACACCATATTTTGCTCATTTCATTCTTCATCCCCTATCTATGACTGAGACTAGACTCTCTGAGTAAAAAATAGCTTGTGAAAAATATCTGTCAAGCCCATAAAAACAAAGATTCTTCTTAATATTGTGTGTACTTTGGTCGTATAAGACCAGTTGCCCGCTGCAATCTTCCAAAAGAAATTGACCATCTCTCCAAAATCCCATTGGCTTCAAAAAACCTGTAACAAGACTTATCGAAAGAAGTTTAGTCCAAGAGTCGTCGTCGTCATAGTCTTGTTTGACCCACACGTCAAACCATTGCTCCTGTTGTTTAAATGGATAAACAATCAAAGAGAGAGAACCATTATACGATGCAAGCTCATAAACAATATCTTCGTCCTGCACAACAGTAAGGCAACTTGGAAGCCCCATCTCGCGCAACACTTCATCAAACATGCTGAAACAAAGAACTCTGTAATAAGCTGTGACGTCCCCAGGAACAAAATAAGCTACCAGCCAGTGAAAGTTTCCCTTCACATAGGTGTTAATAGAAGACTTGGTGATAGAAACATCAACACTAGGCGGCACAGTATCATCAGCCTTTCTCCATGAATTACAACTTGAGCTATATACTAAAACCTGGCGGGGAAAACACAAAGTTTGTGCTTCTTTATGACCGCAGCTCACAATTAAAACCACCTTGTAGTCGTTGGTTTTAGGATCAAAACCAAATCCAACATTTTTCATTGAACACCGATGAGGTTGGATACTCAATTCTGGAAGAACCTGGAATTCTCTCAGTGCAACATTTACCAGCATAATACTGCGAAGATGGTGTAAACAATAGATGCCATTGCAGGGACCAAAAATATCAAGATATAGCTTCTCATCTCTATATGGTAAATCTAGTAGATGGAGAGAAACATCCTCTTCCATGTTGTATGCGTAAAGGGAGTTGACATGATCAGCTGGCTCAAGATGGGTGGGATGACAACGACAAGGCGTTGTATGTGTAACGAGGAGACAATTCTCACTAACAACGACAAGGCATTGTATGTGTAACGAGGAGACAATTCTCACTAACATTCTTGTTGTTGGAGTACTGGTGGAGGTGTTGGATGATGAAATTAGGGTTCTTGATGAGTTCATACCAGGATTTGCAAACACATTGGAAGCGCTTCAAAGATTTCACAGGGAGTCTGCAAAGAATGTTGGCGAACACATCTGTGGGGATGTTCATCATGTATTTTCTTTCTTTCTTTCGTGTCCGATTCTAGGTTCAGAAGAACATGAGTTAATTAGTTAAACAGAAAGAAAAACTAGAGCAGGTATATTCATCTTGAAATTGAGAAAAAAAACACACACACACACACATATATATAGTGCATATGTGTGTATAAAACATATGTGTTTTATGCAATTTCGAATTTGGGTTGCATTATGAAATCTTTAAAATTAGTATATAGCCGATTTAATTAAAATCCAGTTAAACAGCCAATTTAGTAATAAGCAAAAAATTTCTTCCTACGTACATAAACAATTTATTTATCCCAAAGTTCTGTATCTTATATTAATTTGAGGTAACTTTTAATTAGGCATGCATATTGATTTTCCAAAAAAAATAAAAAATTGAATGAATGAGAAAAAAGAAAAAGAGAAAGGAAGAAACAACTACATAAGATAAAACCCTACATCAAGGAGTCTGACTCTGTTTGAGTTTAATAGAAGGAGAGAAAAGAAATAAATGGTTTAGTAATTAGAGGGAGCAGTTGATCCGATTCCAATTACTTATTCCCTTATTCCTAAGTGCCCCAATTCCTTGCAAGTACTAAAATTTAATGAAACCTTTTGTTTCTCTAGATTTACCTTAATATTTTAGATTTGTCAACTTTTTTTAAATCTTTAGGATGTAAATCTTTCATTAAAGACCAAGTTGGGAAGAGATCAGGCTGCCTTGCTATCCTATGTAATAAAAAAGAAAAAGAAAATCTATTCGCGTGTGTGCAAATAAACTTCAGAATTTTCATGGAGACACAATACTTATCTTTTCTGTCTATAATACTTTGATCCGTCCGAGGATAATATGGTAGATCTCTGTCCTAGTTGCAAGACTCTTCAGAAACTATAATTCAAATTTTTTTTTTTTTCTGGCACTAGTGTGCTTAACTTTCTTTGATTCACCATATTTTGTCTTTGGTATTGACTTCAGACAGAGTTTTGAATATGCGTGTATAAGGAAGCTGACTGGACAAGCTGTGACTTTATCATATAACTAGAAAGATGAGGAGTTGCTCTTCAATTTTCGGATTAGTTTCAAGTAGTCATCACTCATTTGAATCCTACAATTTGCCTCACTAAGGTTTCCTTATATTCAAGAACAGATACTTATACCCACCCGTAAAAAATAAACTAAAAAAACATAATAAAAGAGAAATAAAATTAACCCAAATGCACTAAAAAAAACCTGCTAAAAAAATGAAAATTTCTGTCTGTCGGTCTGTTTCTCTCTCCATCTCTGTCTGTCTGTCTGTTTCCCAAAGTTTCCAAACCCTCTTTTCGTTCTTCCATGGCTGTTCAAATCACAGAAGGGTTTCAGGGTTTGAACCCATATGCCCCCGAGTTCTTCCCTAATCAAAACCTACTATCACTCTCTGGTTCAATAATCCCCTCCTACTTTTACCCCCCACCGCTTCTGGTAAACCCTAACCAGTATTCCTACTTATACTTCTCTTACTTTCATAAATAAATAAAAATGAAAATTTCTAAACTCGGCTGTGCTCATAAAACCATTCCAAGCCAAATTAACAAAATGGGCATCAATAAATCAATCTGACACTGAAAGTACTAATTTCCCATGAAACAAACAAAATCCAAGCAATATCTACTTCAAAACCTTCCACAAATTCTCATCGACTTTCTCAAAACCCAGAACTTATCAACAAATCCAAACAAAAAGGGCAAAAACACTTACGGAAATCAAACTCCAGGCGGGTCTTTCCTTCT